GTCGGGAGGGGGAGCTACCGGCGGGGTGTGGGGGAAGAGTGGAGGGTGGTGGTAGGAGTGAGACGGCCCCTGGGACAGCACAGAGGAGGAGTCGGAGTCATTCTCCACGCTGCCAGGGCTGTAGACACTGGGTGAGGTGCTCCTGTTATCCTGGTCAATGTCCCGTGGGTCACTGCTCATCTCATCGTTGAAGCTGTGGCCATCAAGGCTGTCAACATCGGATGGGGATGGAGGGCAGGGCAACTCCTGAAGTAGGAAGGAGGAGAGAGACGTTATGTGGCCTCCCAGACCATGCACAGTACTTCTCAAATTCCCAGAGAACTCGCTTTCTGACCTTTCTCTGCCAGCACTAGAAAAACCCCACAGAGGGAAGGAGACATCGTCTGGCAAGGTATAAGTAACACCAGTCCTCCTGCCTCCCCTTGGAGCAACTTCAGCGCTCTCAGGTCCTTCATGAGCATCACACGCTCAGGGAGGAGGTAACGATGGGCACCTTGTGTACAGAGGCAGCGAGGGAGGGCAGGGAACTGTTACAGACGAGGTTGAGAATGAATAGATACGAAAGGTCCTAGCACCACCATCACCGGCGATGGCAATGGGCTGTTGGCCAGGGTATGATTCAGTGCTACCACCAGGTGGCATAGAGCAGCACACACCACAGTGTGCCCCCAGACCCAGAATCGCTCTTCTTGTCCCTGCAGGGCTCTCCCTCGGTGAGGAGACCCACTCCCCTCCAGCCCCCCACCCCGAGCGTTTCCTCCTCTGGGCTGCCCCACTCCTCACCTCCCCAAGCCCTGCACTTCCCAATCCCTGCTCCTCCCTACCACCTCTCGCCTCAGGCAATGAAGCATTGGTGATTCAACAGTTAGCACAGACAATTAACAAGTACCTCTCTTGAGCCTCGGGGCTTACAAGAGAGGCTAAACTGTAAAAAGATCACTGTTGAGCTGAACTGAACAGTGTCCACGTGGAGAAATTACACAGGTGTAACCACAGCGGTTTAATTACAATCCCCTCATAATGCAAGCAAATATCCCCATGTTTGCAGGCCTTTAAGGCCAGTTCCCTGAACAGGCTAACGGGGAACTAAGAAGCACAAGAGCTGAGTCTTCCTCCAACCGTTTGACCACCAATCCAGCCCGGTGCTGTGGGCATTTTGGAAAAGCCCTACCACAACTATGCAGAGCGTGTGCGTGAGCAGGTTTTGCACAACCATCACCCAGACCCCACCACGACTTAAGGATCTCTGTTTCAGACTGCTCTGGGGGAGCAAAAGAGGCTGAGTCTAACCTGACTGGCAGCTGCGCACGGAGCCAGGCTCTTGCCACTGAGCCGGGAAAGGCAGGGCATGTGCCCAGCTCCGAGAGTGCGGCAGTCCCCTGCAGACAAGGCAAAAGAGACGGAGAGCCTGCCGTCTGCTCAGTCATCACTCCTGGTGGCGTTTTTGTAGCCAGGCAGATGCTATTTAGGTTGGAAGAGCTGCAGTGCAAAACCCAAGGTGCCAGGGCTCCCGAGCAGTGGGAACCTCAAGCCAGGTGGGTGGGAGCAGCACAGGTAGGGAACAGGGGACTCCTTTGCCCTGAACCCAGGACAGGCCAGCAATCACAGCAGGGACAACTCACCTCGGTTTTGGTTTTTTTGGGAGCGTTGGTGTCCTCCCCTTCACTCTCCGAGATTTCTTCTGTTCGGCCCTGCTTGCTGCCCTTGGGGGTGCAGGATTCCTCCACCCGGCCTTTCTGCAAGAGAGAGGAGAACAGGGAGGTGGGAGGGTCATGGGGAAACTTCCCACCCTGCCAGACCTTCACAGGCTGCAGCAGGTGAGACACAGCCACTATGGCATGTGTGTTGAAGAGCTTAGCAGTGCAACACTGAGCCAGAATATGGCAAAAATTAGCTCTAAACAGGGCTGGTGAGACTGAAGACCGGTTCTTGGGAGATGATGGAAGTACAAGATGCTGAGGATGAAAGAGGGATCCCACCCATTCCAGAGAACTAACCCAGCATGGGTTCCTTGGTAGATCCCTTCTGGTCTGCGTCCCTGGATCCCCAAACAGATCCTACCCAATCTGGGCAGTCCTCAGGCACCCCACGCTCGCATACTAGCTTATACTACCTTTGTCGCCTGTCGGGATTTCTCAGCCTTGCCATCACTGCTGGAGGTGCTGACGCCCCCAGGGGAAGCTCGACCCCGTGACCTGAGCTCCTCTCGGGGCCCTGGAGTCTCTTTCTTCCGTCCACTCCGCATTGACATCTAAGAGAGGGATCACTGGATCAGTCCTGCTTTGCATCTCCCTCCACTCCTGCCCTGTCCCCAGCCTCCTGAAGTCTCTGAACCCCTGGCACTCCACTACGCCAAACTCATGTCCACGAGCTTTGCTGTGAGCCTCAGTCCCAACCCACAGCTCCAGCTTGCCTCCTGTGTCTCCCCCCCCCCCCTCCCATCTCACGTACTGAGTCCTTGTTCTGTCGTGTCTTCATTCTTTTGGGTGTGGGACCCCCATTCTCCTTGGCCCGGCTTGATGAAAACATAAATTTTTATCACTCCACACCCCCCTTCGGCTGTTCCCGGGGAGGCGGAGATGGGCAAGAGCAGTTCTTCTGGAAGGGGGGCTTACACCAGCAATGCAACAAGATCCCGGTGAATCCTGAAAGGCAGACAAGGAGATGAGATGGGAGAAAGAGTGAGTGGACTGCAGGACATCCTTTTGTGGTCTGCTATAGAAACATGACAAAATTATTACTGTTTCCTTAATTATTATTTACAGACGCAAGGATCTTTACCAAAAATGCAATAAACTTCCCCATCAGAAGGGGAAAAGATTTGGCCACTCTCACATCCGATTTCCAATTTCTAGGAGTAATACCCACACGATGTGAGGCAGGCAGTCCTCCAATTTTTTGGAGGAAGCAGAGAGGAATGGTTATCAGTATGTTGATTGTCCTCTGAAATAATTTTAGTATTTCCATTTCCTTGTTTATTTGATCTTCAGAGAGAGAGAGGGGGAAAAAAATGGGAAAATGCTTTAAAATGTTCCTAATGACAATTTTTCTGACTTCATAAGTTCCTCTTTGCACTTGTTGTCAATGCAGTAAGTTACACTATCCTTAACTGGCCATGTGCTGTCATTAGCTAGCTCTGTGTAATGAGCCCCCAGTGGCCTTTGCTGAAGAGGTATTATATAGCTCTGCCCTCTCCAGAGCATATGCACATGCATACATGCACCAGCACGTTACGCAGAAAATGTGATAAGTCTTGCTTAGGCTGTTCGGTGTCCAAGGTACACAAATAGGTGCAAGAAAATGCATTTAGCTTTGATTTTGCATGACGCAAACAGAATCAACTCTGTTTAGCTTGAAGGGCCTGCCTAGGTCTCCTTCTTCTCTATACACTGGACTGCTTCTCAGTGTACCACCTAAGAGTCATGCCCAGAGATGCAAGAGTACATCCTTACACTTTGCAGCAGCTGGAAGATTTCTGAGCTCCCTCTGAATAAATTTACAGCTTTGTGCTACGTCCAAAAGCACCATAGATATTTCATACCCTGTTATGCCACACAGTTCCTAGTTTAGAGTATGAAAGCACCATGATTGTGTTAGCCTGGGAACTGGACTGAAGTCATTCAGGGATGCTGCTCCTGAAGCTAGTTTGCTTGGCTCCATCCAGCTCAAGACCTTTCGCACTGCACTGTACTGCGCAGGTGTAACCAAGAAGACACTGTCCTTCCCCAGCCTGTCATTTGAGCTCCTATATTCAGCCTCTGGAATGGACAATCTGCAAGAGAAGGAAATGTGTCCGGTGGATGAGGCATCAGGAGAAAAGATCCACATCTCCTGGGTTATATTCTCTGATCTGGAAGCACGGGAAAGTTTTGTGAATAAGTATAAGAAGACTTGAGATTCGGGACTCCTAAAGGCCATCCCAGACCTCGAAAGATCAGCTTCTAGCCAGCCAGTGCAGGAGCAGTCTGGATGCACTTTCAATCCTCTGAGAAGGGAGCTGAAACCAGGGATCAGAGCAAAGGCACCAGACAGGAGAACCCCTGGACCGCCTGTGCAGCCCTGCTGCTGGACTGTGTGGCCCTGGAGTCGCTGCATTCCTCCGCCTCCATCTCCCTACCTGTGAAAAGGCAGTAATAACACTGGCCTGTCTCTTGTGGGGCTCCACATCTTCCCTGACCAATGCTTAGAGAAAACCATCCGGAAGGTACTTGGGAAGAGCAGGGGATTGTTTGTTTTAATTTCATTAATATTTTATTTGACCCTCATCATGAAAGCCACAGGGGACTCATCCAGCATTAATTCCCACACACAGCAATTCATTAACTGAGACCTCTTCTTTAATAGAAAAATAGGTCACGATGGTTTATAACTGACCTAATGGAGGCAGAGCACTCTCCTAATCTCTACCAGCTGACATGTTTTACAGCCTTACATTTCTGTCATACTTTGGCCTTTGGTTGCTAATTCAGCCAGCTACACTGATGCTATTCTAGATAAGCATCTATAATTAACATTTCTTACGTGAAACAAACATTGTAAGTAAGGCGATCCTAATTTAACCCAGCTTCAACACACGCCATGTTAGCAACCTTCAAGTATTAGCTCAGCTCTGAACACACACAAGCAGCAACAGCACATTACCAATATGTCACTGCTCTTTACATTCAACAGGGGTGCCACCCACACCTCCCACACCAAAGAACCGAACATCATAATGCAGCGCACAGGTCTCACTTCAGCTTTCCAGTAACCCTATGATGACAGTTATGGTGGTCTTTCCAGAGAAGTAAGTCAGAAAAATAATATACAGCCAACACATACTGAAACTTCCTTTTTTAAAAGAAATACCAACTCAGTACTTATGTCAACCGCTGAATATGCAGTACCAAACAAAGCCAGAAACAAATAGGTATGTTTCAGTAGACAATTAACCACTGGGGCAGAAGTTTCTATCACTTAGAGCGCGAAGACTTTTCTAAAATATGTAACAGAACTGACACACACATTATTAGACTCAGTACAGCAACTGTTATGTCAGAGGCCAGATGAGAGGATCACAACACTGCCTTCTAATTTTAACATCTATGAAATAAAAGTTTGCAATGTGAGCCTTGACAATTAACAAAGTTACACCTAACCCTTCCCGTCACCGAAGATCCCTGTAAATGTCTCTGAAGAGTTCTTAGGGCTCTGTGGTTTTGGAAAGGAAATGAGACATTTGGCAGGGCTGCTGTCGAAGGCATAACCTTTTCCTGGCCCTGTGAAGCCCTTTACAGGTTTGATTGAGTTATGAGGCATTGCGAATTGCTATTTTCTGTTTGCGTTTCATTCAACCCAGCTTGGTTTGGCTTACTGCCCAAACCCCTCCATATTCTCGTGTAAGCCCTGGTGCAGTCTCCTGCAAGCAATGCGCACTCAACAGGCATCCCCGCAAGGGATCCAAAATGGATCCCGCTCCTCCTCCTCCCCAGCTTCAAGTAATTCTCCTTGCCAAAGGTGGACTGTCCTGCACAGGCAGCCAGAAGATCACGGGCTCCAGTTCCTCTTCTGTTGATGGACGCAGATAAGTTCTCTCCTTCCCAGGCTGTAGTGTGGAGCAACTCTTCACGGGTTACAAAACTGGAATCAAGTCCACCTCAAATGAGATGCACTCAAGTTTTACCTACTTAAGTATACACCCTTAGTCTCTCTTAGAAAGCTGGGTAAATGTTTGTCCTTGGCTCAGGAGAGCATTTACACGTTAGATTGAGGGTCTGAGAAAATAAACTTTCCTAGATGGCAACAGAAGCAGAGGAAACGGGAACAGGACCAAGTTGTCTGGGATGGTGTTTGGGGGCTTGGCCAGGACTGTAAATGACAAATGAGTTATGTGCCCCAAAGGCTTGCACATGCCGGGGCTGCACACACAGGTACACCCAGCACATGTCCCAACAGCAGGGAGGCAATTTCCAGTGAGACAGGGAAGTCTGGGAGGTGCCTCCAAATCCACAGAGGGCTGAAGGGTTTTGTCACTTCAGCTGGTGCTCAACGGCAGAGCAAGCTCCAGGATGGGCAGCCCGAGTCCGGGGCTCCTGTCTGCTTGAGAGGGCTAAAAGCAGCTAAGGTCCAGCTAGCCATCCCTGGGGCCAGTGACAGGAGAAGGGAGAGCTGAAGGCTCCCAGCATCCATGCCACTGAAGAAAAAGAGCTAACACCACCATTACTTCAGCAGCGTTTCTTTAGCTAGCAGACATTTAAGGCCTGATCCAGTCCTCACTGAGATTAGCTGCTGATACTCAGCTGTCAATAGTTACCACGGTCTCTTCCCTTTCTTTTGTATTATTCCTCTCTTGGGGGGAAAAAAAAAAAACCACACTACCTGGTTTTATTATCTACTACTCCCGATCTTCTCCGACTGTAACATCCCAGTAATCTCAGGTGGATTCAGACCTGGTCCAAGCAGGACGGGAGGTGCAGCAGGCAGAACATGGCTATGGTACGTGTCACAGGAGTCCCCCCTGAGCTAGCCAGTGATGATTTGGGGGTGGAGGGGAATAGCACTGATGTAGCCTCCTCTCTCCACCGAGGCTCTGCCTAGGCATTGCCTGGTAGACCATCCACCTAGTTGGAGGCACTGAGTGCAAAGATGTCAAGGTGCATGGCTGGATCATTCAGTCTCAAAGAAGAAATGAATTAAAAACTCTGCCACCCATCAGGACCACAAATGCTGCAAGAAGGGGCAATTTGACAGCATCTGTACTTTTAAATAAAATGGGACAGTGCCTGTTCTCTGGTCCTGGGGGTGATTTGCATTACACAGCTTGCACCCGGATGACAAAATTCTCCTACCCTCGAAAGGGGATGGACACATCTAACCTGGCCACTGGCAATCAGCATGGTCCTATGCTAACTCCTCAACCATGCTCAGGCATCATCTGGGAGAGCACTCGTTGGCACAGACCAAAGACCGTACAAAGGAACGCCATGGTAATGGACAGCCAGTGCTGTGCGCCAGTGTTGTTACTGTAGACACAGACTGCGTTATCTTCCACTAGATGCCAGACCATGGAAAGTACGTTTGGAGTGAGACGTCAGTTCCTCCTTTAGTCTAAGTACAGATGTTCTGAAGTTCAAACCTCTTGTTTTCTTCAGTTTGGAACTGTTGGAAGTACACAGTGACTATTCCTCAAGTCATTTTTTGAAATGTAGGAACTACATCCAAAATCCTACATGAAATCAAAGGCATTTGGTTGCAAAGAAAAGGATTTAGAAGTCAGAAGATGTGAGAATTAAACTGAGTCCGTTTCTCTGCAATTCATTAGTTCTGTGTTCCCATCCTGGTTTTCCTCTTCCCCCTTCTGCAAAGGGACGGGTTAGCACTGGAGGGAGGACCCAGGGTGGCAAAACAAACACAGCTGCTTTCTAACACATTGCAAATGCTAGAAAGTGTCCTGAAAGTAAGATGGGATGATAACCAATGGATCCCTCTTGACAGGTGAAGATCACTCAGAAGGGAGTGCCCACTGGAGCAGTATAGCCAGGGGACACACAGCGTAGGTAGGAAGTCAGAAGTTGGCATAT